GTTTGGCGCCGCACGGCTCCAGCCCCCGCCCCGTAGCCAGCGCTGGGACCTGTAGACCAAGCCCCCTTTCGCTGTTGCAGTTCTCTGAGGGCTTCTGTTCTGTGTTTTTGTGGCTTGTGGTCAGCAGGGGACCACACTCAGCTCCTCTCCACCAGTGGGCCTGGGTGGGGGTGAGCTGGAGAACGGAGGAAGCTGTTCTGCGAAGCTCCTTTATATTCCATGTCAGCCCCTGCAGCTTCCTCTGTGCTTTATCCATGGGGCTACAGGGCTCTGACCAGAAGGCCGTGAGCAGCCCAGAAGGAAGATAATTCAGAAAGCTCCTACCCTTGCTATCCCTAAATTATTATAATTATTTTTTTAAGAATTATTTTATTTAACTACGGGCGCGTGTGCGTACGTGCCCAAGATCCCGAGAGGAGAAGGGATTGCGGCGTGACCGTCCCCCCCGGGGGTGATTTCTCGCTAAAAAAAAGAATTATTTTATTTAACTTTATTTATTTGTTCATTTTAATTTGACCAGAGAGGAACAGAGTGAGAAAGAGAAAGGGAAAGTGAGAAAGCAAGTTGCCAGGTCTGGGACTTGCACTGCAGTCAGCCATGTGGGAGTCCAGTGCCCTTAACCACCATGCCACCTGCTAGCCCCATATCCCTAAATTATTTTTAACTTAAAAAAGTTTGTTTAGGGCCAGCTGGTGGTGAGGTGGTAAAAGTATTGGATCCCACATGGCTGATCGTGTGGTTTGAGTCCTGGACCTGGCAGCTTCAAAAGCACACCAGGCACTTGTGTGTGCATGCCCTAAATCCTAAGAGGAGACTAGAAGAGGAACTGTAGTGTGACCATCCCTCTAGGTGGGTTGCTTTCTCACTTTCTCTCTCACTGGTTCTCTTAGCTCTCCCATAAGCACATGTATCCTCTAGCACATTTTTAAAATTCAATTGTATTATTATTTTTTTCTAATCTGCCATTGGGCACATGCACCCACCAGAAAGAGAGAGAGAAAGAGAGAGAGAAAGTGAGAGAGAAAGTGAGAGAGAAGGCTGGTAGGTGGCATGGTGGTTGGAGGCACTGGACTCCCACATGGTCAGCCATGGTTCAGGTCCTGGACCTGGCAGCTGGCTTTCTTCCTTTACTTCTCTGTCTTTTTCTCTTACTCTGTCCCTCTCTGGTCAAATTAAAATAAATAGATAGATAGATAGATAGATAGATAGATAGATAGTGAGAAAGAACCATGGTTGCCCATGTTGGAGTTTAGTGGCTTAACCACCATACCACCCGCTGGCCCCTCTAGCGATTTTTTTTTTTTTTTACGATTTATTTATTTACTTAATTACATTTGTTATTATTATTTACAATTTGACCAGAGAGAGGAAGGGAAAGCGAGAAAGCAAGCTGCCAGGTCCAGGACTCGAACTGCGTTTGGCCATGTGGGAGTCCTGCACCCGTAACCACCTGCTGTACCTCCCTGCAATTTTTTATTTTTTTGAGAAGTTTTTGCTATAGGGTGCGTATGCTTGCCAGAAAGACAGACAGAGACAGAAAGTGAGAAATCACCCCCTGGGGGGATGGCCATGCCGCACTTCCTCCTCCTCCATTCTCCTCTCAGGATCTTGGGCACATGCGCCTGGCATTAATTTAAGCCACCAGGTCTGGAGACTCGAACTGCGGCCGACTACATGGGGATCCAGCGACATAGCCATTACGCCAACTGCTGGTCCCTTAAGAGATAAAATAAAAATTAAAAATTCATTTATTGGAGCCAACAGGCGGTGTAGTGGTTATGGCGCTGGACTCCAACATGGCCAACTACAGTTCAAGTGCTGGACCTGGTGGCTTGTAAAAACACTCTGGACACGAGTGCATGTATGCCTAAATCCCAGGGAGAAGGGATTGCGGTGTGGCCATCCTCTCTGAGGAGTGATTCTCACTTTTCCCCTCACTGTCTTTGTCTCTCGCACGTGCGCATGGCAAAAACCTTTAAAATTATTGGGCCCAGGCCCTTCCATGTGGGCCCAGTTGCATTGCCTCTCTGCCATCCCCAGCCCTATCCTCAAGTTCCGCGCGGTAGACTGAGTGGTCTTCATGTGCTCTTTGCTTGCTGACCTTTCGGGCTCAGAGCAGGACAGTTGTGGTGGTAAAAGGGAAGAGCTGGGGCTGCCAGGTGGCATGGTGATTAAAAGGCGCTGGACTCCCACATGGCCAACCATGGTTTGAGTCCTGGACCTGGTGGCTTGTTTTCTCACTTTTCTTCTCTCCTTTTTTTTTTTTCTTTCTCTCTCTGTCCCTCTCTGGTCAAATTTAAATAAATAAATAAATAAAAGTTAAATAAAATAATTATTTTTTAGGAAAAAAAGAGGGAAGAGTGTTTGAGTGTTTATCCTGGGCTAGACAGCAGCTCTGAGGTCAAACCACCATTCTGTTCCATTTCTTTTTTTTTTTTTTTGGAGAGGTTTTTGCTATAGGGCGCATGCGCTCGCCAGACAGATAGAGAGAGATAGAGAGACAGAAAGCGAGAAATCACCTCCCAGGGGGGATGGTCACGCCACAATCCCTTCTCCTCCATTCTCCTCTCGGGATCTTGGGCACGCACGCACACACGCCCAGCGTGAATTTTAAGCCACCGGGTCCGGGACACGAACCGCGGTCGACTACGTGGGAGTCCAGCGACATAGCCATTACGCTAACTGCTGGTTCCCAAACCACCATTCTGCAAGGCTGACTCACGTGCAAGAATTCCTTGTTCAGATCCAGAGACCCTGGACACTCACCTGCCAGTGATATGGGGCTGCTGGGGCGGGGAGTGGATCACATGTGAGGTCTCTTTTCGTTCGTTTAGTTTGCTATAGGGCACATGTGCTTGCTGGAGAGAGAGAAAGAGAGAGAGAGAGAACTCACCCTCCAGAAGGGATGGCCACGCCACACCTCTTCTCAGTCTTGTCTGGATTTTGGGCATGTATGCACATGCGCCTGAATCCAAAGCTTGAACCATAAAGTTGACCATGTGGGATCCAGCCACTTTGACCACCACGCCACCGGCTGATCCAAGAGCCCTTTTGAGGGTGCTGTGTCTTTCTCTTTTTGTCTCTCTGTCTCTTTTGTTCATGGAAAGATTTTTTTTTGGAGAGTGCTTTCTCACCAGAGAAAGGCAGAGGGAGAGATGAAGGCACTTCCCATGGGACATAGTCATGCCACTGTCCCTTTTCCTCTCTCTCACTCTCCTTTGGGGATTTTGGGCACACACACACCTGGCCTCTGTGTTTGTCAACCACCAGGTCTAGGACTCAAACTGTGTGACTGGCCATAAAGGATCTAGCTGCCTTTGCACATCAGGCTATGGAGCTGGCCCAGTAAATAAACCTAAAAAAACGAAAACAGAAACCTCATCTGTTACTCCTCCTCTCCCCTAATTGCACTCCCTCTAAGACCGTCATCGGCAGCATCAGCTTGCTGGCCGCACAGCTCCGTGCCTGCACGCCCCTTCCCACCTGGCACCCTGTGAGCAGCACTGAGCTCGGCTCTCCCTCCCGCAGAACCTGCACGTGTACATCTCAGAGCACGAGCACTTTACAGACTTCAACGCCACGTCCGCACTCTTCTGGGAGCAGCACGACCTCGTGTACGGTGATTGGACAAGCGGCGAGAACTCAGATGGCTGCTACGAGCACTTCGCTGAGCTCGACATCCCGCAGGTGGGGGCAGCTCCCCCCAACCCTGGGCTGCTTGACCCCACCGAAGGCCGTTTCCTCCAGTCCGCTCCCAGCCCTAGGCATCTGAGTGCAGCTCACGTGCTCACAGGCAGGTCCCTGAGTTCTCTGAGCCTGACCCTCCCCCACCTGGAAAAGTAGAGGGGGTGGAACTGGCCTGGGGTCCGCCTAGCTGCCTGCAGTTTACAGCAGTGAAGGGTCAGCGATTGTCCCTGGGGGTGGGTCTCCAGCAGTTTGCAGGCAGCTGGCTGCAAGGATCGTTGCAGTTGGCAGTGACCAGCCCCTGCTGTGCACAGGGCACCAAGAGGGCCTGTGCGGGCCTGTGCGTGGAAGCCTCCCCACTCCCCGGCTGTCCCTGTCTGACAGATAGAAACCGAGGTGCAGAGAGGTAAAGTGGCTTCCCCAAGGTAGCACAGCTAGTGAGAGGCTGAAACTCAGGCTTTCTGGCTCCATGTTTTCACAGTCCCAGGTTTAAATCTTGCCTCCTCCAGAAAACTCACCCGAAGTGAAGGCTTGGTGAACTGACCTCTGGGTTCTCACAGCTTGCTGGGCTTCCCCATCCCAGCCCTATCCATTCTGGTCCTCACTGTCTAGGGACGGTCTTTCTCCCCCCGGGCTGCAAGCCTGCTGAGGGGCAAGGCTGGGCTGCCACAGTCAGTTGTCCGTGCCCAACACTGCCAGCGTGGAGCCAGGCCCGGTATTTGCAAGAGCAGAACAAGTGTGAGGGGCGCCTCGGGGGCCTTCCTGACTGTGCTCAGCCAGGCCAGCAACCTGGTTCCCTGGCAGAGTTGGGGAATCAAAGGTTTGGGCAGAGGGGCCAGTGGGCATGGGGCAGGGAGCGTAGAGGGGGAGCTCTGCGGGAGCCCACAGCCTGGCTTCATGCACGTACTTGCATGGCACCTCCCGCACATCAGGTAACCCCTCTGCAGGGCCCACTACCTCGTCTGAGCAGCGGGCAAGTAGCCCCCGCCACATGGTTGGCGGATGCCTCCTGCCTGTTAGCCCATCAGATCAGGGAGCTGCTCTGCGTCGACAGAGCTGTGGGTCCTTGTCATCTCCTTACGCAGTGTGGCCTGAGTCCACTGAGGTCAGCGAACCACGCTGGGGAACCCTCGATTCAGCACTGCGATGAGCCTGTCCTGCAGGTGGGCTCTGGGCTCAGAGGCAGCTGAACCTACACCATTCCAGCTGAAGCCGAGGTCCTAACCAGTCTGACCCCAGTGCTGGGCTGTTAACTGTGCAGCTCCACTCCCCCCGCCCCAGCACTCATTGAGCCGCTGAAGAACGAGGGGACGAGGGTACCAGGTGGACCCTGTGTGCTGGCCGTCCCTGCCCACTACCCACCGTGCCTTACAGAGCGTGCAGCAGAACGGCTCCATCTACATCCACGTCTACTTCACCAAGAGTGGCTTCCACCCAGACCCCCGGCAGAAGGCCCTGTACCGCCGGCTTGCCACGGTCCACATGTCCCGGAGTGAGTCCTCCCCTGCAGCCAAGGCCCTGGGCTGGGGGTGGGCAGCAGAACCCTCCCGAGATGCTGGGCTTGCCATCCTGCCCACCCTTTATGGTCTCCCTGGACGCCTGGTGTGTAGAGCTGCAATGCAGGGGATCGGAGAGTGAGAGGAGTCGGGTAGGAAGAGCTGGGGGGGACAAGAACTTCCGAAGGGGCGGAGGGAGGCAGTGCCTGCAGGAGGGGAGGGCCCGGGCTTGGCTCGTGCACAGTGTAGGGCTGGATAGAAGCAGATACCCAGGAAGAAGGTGGGAATGGCCAGTGGGTGGTGAGCAGAGGGGAGCCTGGAGGGCCTTCGAGACCAGGCTGTGGTCTCTGCAGTTGCTGTGTGTCAGTTCAGCCCTGGGAACAGACACTGTATAGACTTGCTGCTGTTTGGGGAGCTGGTGTGTGTGGGTGTCTCGTGGGTCAGGGCTGACTCTCAGGCAGCCTGTGTGTTCTGTGTGGCCGCGCCCTGAG